TCCGGATTCGTCCACAGATTATTGCCGGAGGTTGACTCCTCTGGTCTAGTAAGAAAACAAAATTCAGGGGCATGTCGAAATTTGGCATTCTCACAAAGTCGAACGAGTTTTGTGGGTTTTAGTGGGCGATGGTTTTGTACACAAGAGCTGCTAAAGACGACCGTCAATGACTAAAGAGTCCGAAGCTCAACTTCGGCCGAGACTTCACATAATACGGTTATTTGACCTGCCAAACGCGAATATCATATTCATTTGATGAATCAACGCCTTTTTCCTTGTTTAGGGTGAGACCCCATATCGTACACCTACAGTAATCCGACAAAAAAACCCCTATCACGCAATTTCACTGTCGCTTTCGTGATCAGCATGTCGGATAACACCTCTATGCCAAGTTTCAACCACATCCGTCAAACTTTGAATTTTTTGCCTTTATGCCATGCACTACCGTAACCCTCACTGCGACGTCAGAATTTGGTAGGACAGCAGCTGCGCCTGTAGCTTACGTAATAACCAACGCAGTGGCAAAATTTGAGTGCGCCCTGTTGAGTGAGAGGGAAGTTATGAGACCAGTTGCAAAAATTATTCAACCTAATAAATCAGAAAGCAAAGTTTCAAGAAAGAGGATAAAAGTCTGGATCAAATGATTCCCAGATTGTCCATGGATTGATGTTTTGTGGAGTGGGCGATGAAAAAAACCGACAAAACTTTCGAGACGACCTAATATACAGAGCTTATTAAATGAGTGTCGCTTGCCCCAGCATCTCCACTCCCGCGCTGGACTCTGCGTTTCTTTCGCGGAACATGCTCCTTAATCACTACCAATCAATTGAGGCTACGCCTATCCCACGCTGCCCTGGGAAAGTGCTCAAAGAGCATATTCCGCGTAAGAGAAGCAGAGTCCAGCGCGGGAGTGGAGATGCAGGGACAAGCGAACTTCATTTGATAAGCCCTGTATACCAAAGGTATAAATGTTTCTCTTACTAAACTAACGAATCTTTTCTTTTTTCTCGCATACAACTGGCAGTTTTCCTTTTCATCAAATGGTCACATATACCAAGAGATAAAAGAACTTGTACTGGGCAATTAAGAAGGTGGTATCTTATATATAAAGCTGAATGTCTGTTTGTCTGTCTGTCTGTATGTCTGTCTGTATGTCTGTATGTATGTACGTATGTTCCGAATACAAATTTTTATTTCTGAACCGATCGGGACCAAACTTGGCACACATATACTTCAGGGCAGGGAGCGTGTCATAGGCTACTTTTCGTTATCGATCGATATCGATTTTATTGATTTTTTGCAAAATTCGAGCTAGAGGGCTGGGATTTGGCAGAGGGGGGTAATCGAGCATGCTGATCACCCCGAAGGGGTGATCAGCATGCTCGATTACCCCCCTGTGCAAAATCCTAGCCCCCTAGCTCAAATTTTGCAAAAAATCGGTAAAATCGACATCGATCGATAACGAAAAGTGGGCTGTGACACGCTCCCTGCCCCGAAGTGTATGTGTGCAAAGTTCGGTCCCAATCGGTTCAGAGATAAAAATTTCTATTCGGAACATACGTACACGGGTCTAGCTGGCAGGCCCGGCGGAGCCGGGCAAGCCAGCTAGTGATAAATAATAATGATATGCACCGCTGGAAAAGGTAACATTCAGTTCTCAATGTTTCAAATTGCAGCATATACGCAACATTCCATAAACCTGCAAGAACAAATTTTCAGGGCGTAGAGCATACAAAACGTCATCTACGTACGCACAATATAGCGGTGGTGTCGCGTCGACGCTCAGCACCACCTAGCCGTGTCGACAGTCCTATAACAACCCCGAACCCTAGGTCGTTACGCGTCCGATATCGACGTGCACTTCGGCGTGGTCACTCAGTGCGTCAACTGAACAATTCAACCTATGTTCCAGGCGACACGTAACAAAAAACGGAAATAGGTCTAGGCTTCAGCAGCGCGAGCCGCGTCGTCCCGTGCTGCCAAAGGGTTGAGCCAGAGTGCGCGGCGTACGGGCGTACGTGACGTACGCAGCGTACGCTCGGTATATTTTATCATAGGAGAGTACGCGGCGTACGCTGCGTACGCCGCGTACGCCGCGCAGTCTGGCCCAACCCAAAGCTCGTTCCGTATTATACCGTCGTCTCCCCTGCGTATAGCGGGCGTGGCCTAGGCGACCGTTTCCAGAAAATCCGAGGCGGCGCTGTTAGCCGTGGCGCAGATCGATAATCGCAATCAGTTGATAATTTTCGGGCCGTGCCGCTTTGGTACGGTTTTTTTCAGTTTCAGATTTCATGTAAATGAGTAAAAGGTGATCGTTTCATTTGCTTGTGTTTAATCCAATTTGCATGCGTTTTACACTTTTTACATCGCAATTTCTACGATTTTTGCATTTTTCGCCGCCTTTGACTACTTTTTTCTGAGTTTTCTCAAAGAAATTGCGGTGTAAAAAGTGTAAAACTCATGCAAATTGGAATAAACACAATTAAATGAAACATGAAACTTGATTCCATTTATTTAGATGGAATCTGACACAAGATCGGCTAGAAAAACTGAAAAAAATCTCACCAAGGCGGCGCGGCCCGAAAATTATCAACTGATTGCAATTATCGATCTGCGCCACGGCTAACAGCGCCCGCCTCGGACTTTCTGTAAGGGTCGCCTAGACCACTCCCGCCATACGCAGGGGAGACGACATTACCTTTAGTCAACCTATTTATAAACCTATTTTCTTTCTTTTTTTACGATGACGCATCGAGTGAACGCGCCGAAGTGCACGTCGATAGCGAAGGAACGTCCTAAGGTTCGGGATTGTAGTAGGGCAGTCGAGCACGGCTAGGTGGTGCTGAGCCGTCGACGCAACACCACCGCATATTGTGCGTACGTAAATGACGTTTTGTATGTTTTAACCCTGAGAAATTGCTCTTGCAGGTTTATGGGTTGTTGCGTACATGTTTGCAATTTGAAACCTTGAAAACTGAATATTAGCTTGTTTAGCGATACAGTTTATCATACTGACCTTAATCGATTGTCCCATACAATTCACTAAATTAGCACAATGCTCTCATCTCTTTTATCTTTTGGTATATGTGGCCATTTGATGAAAAGGGGAAAACTGGCAGCTGTGGGCGAGAAAAGACGAAAAGATTTGTTAGTCCAGTAAGAGGAATTTTTATACATATGGTATACATTTATTTTTTTTATTGGTCTTTTCGAATTCCGACAATGTTCGAATGTAGGTATAAAATCTACAAAACTGCAAATCTGACTCTTTCATCAGCGGTTGTACTTAGTAAACGCTTAGATGTCATAAGATTGCCCTCCTCCCCCCCCCCCAAAAGTTCTTTCGGTTTTTCGACCTATCATATAAACACTACAGGCGAACATGTTTTCTGAACGGCGCTTGTGGTCGCTAGATTGCCGAAATTTCAAGAACGTGCTTTTTACCATGTCCTATTATACATGTATTAGGTTGTCCGGAAATTAATGCAGGTTTTGAATTCCAACCGCAATAAGTCATGCATTTCTCATTTCTAAGTAGGTTATAATATACAAAATATGATGAAAACAGAGAGAGATAGGACAGTAAAGCACTTTGTCAAGAATGAAGTAGTGAGCGTGATGAAAACGCCAAGTCCCGATACTACAGCGCACCCCAGCGTCAATTCCCTGCACGCCGGCTAAATTTGTACTGGGTCATAAGGCGCGCTCTGCGCAGCCGTATGTAGATTTAAGTATTAGGTTGTCCGGAAATTAGAGCAGGTTTTGAATTCCAACCGCAATAAGTCATGCACTTCTCATTTCTAAGTAGTTATAATAGACCGTTCGATAGAGCAAAGCAAGCTCTACAAGATGGCAGTCTTGATTTAGCAACAGCTCTAATCCATTACGAGTTTCGAGCCAAAAACTAAAATGATTCAACTACCCAAAAGACTGAGAAAAATCGTAACTCAGTTCATAAAAATCCTACAAAAATTCTAGCTCGCTCACGTAAACACTTTCCACATAAAACGTATATTTACGCCGTTGCCGTATTGTTTTCTCGGTTAGAAACCAAGAAAACGAAGATTTTCATGTTTCTGCCAAAGTGATCCTGTGCCGTTCCCACATAAGTAGTTGTATACTGCAAACCTGTAGAAGTACAAACTTAAATTTCCAGCTCTCTAAAGCTTTAGTTCTCGAAAAATTTGAATTTTTGCTTGAACCACATGACTAGGAAAACTGTGTTCGATATTTCTCGAGAACTAAAGCTTGTAGAGAGCTGGAAATTCAAGTTTGTACTTCTACAGGTTTGTAGTATACAACTACTTATGTGGGAACGGCACAGGATCACTTTGGCAGAAAACATGAAAAGGCAATAAAACATGAATACGGCAACGGCGTACATATACGTTTTATGTGGGCAGTGTTTACGTGAGCGAGCTAGAATTTTTGTAGGATTTTTATGAACCGAGTTACGATTTTTCTCAATTTTTTGGGTAGTCGAATCTTTTTAGTTTTTGGCTCGAAACTCGTGGTGGATTAGAGCTGTTGTTAAATCAAGACTGCCATTTTGTAGAGCTTGCTTTGCTCTATCGAACGGTACTTATAACCTACTTAGAAATGAGAAGTGCATGACTTATTGCGGTTGGAATTCAAAACCTGCATTAATTTCCGGACAACCTAATACTTAAATCTACACATGGCTGCGCAGAGCGCGCCCCATGACACAGTACAAATTCAGCCGGCGCGCGGGGATTTGACGCTGGGGTGCGCTATAGTATCGGGACTTGGCGTTTTCATCAAGCTCACTACTTCATTCTTGACAAAGTGCTTTACTGTCCTATCTCTCTCTGTTTTCATCACGCGCTCACTACTCCATTCTTGATAGAATGCTTTACTTTTTCATTTGCGTCGGTGTTTTCATCACGCTTACTACTCTATACTTGATAGAATACTGTACTCTTCTATTGCGTCTGCAGCTATCCTCTGTGCCAACTGTTTGTAAACAATTTTTTTTTGCAGGCATGTCGCAAGCACAGGCGGTTGGCGACTGATTGACGCGAAATGTTCACAGGCAACATCGATGCAATTTTTTTGTTGCCACTGCCGGGAGATTTCTGTCGAACTACTGATTTCTGGTCAATTTCATTGAAGACTGGAGAAGCGGATAAATCAAGTAAGTGGCTTGAACAACTAGAATTTTCCTGTTCGGTGCCGTTTTAGTACTAGCTAGCAGTGGCGGTCCCAGGATTTCGGCTCGGGGGGGGGGAATTTTTTTTAAATGAAGGTGCGTGGCGTTAGCCACGCACTCCGAAGAAATTTTAGGGGTACTTCTTAAAATTTTTGCGGGCCCCCAACCCCTAAAATCTGGAAAAAGGGGGCGTGGCGTCAGCCACGCCCCCGAAAAAAATTTTTTTATAAGGCTAATTTGAAATTTTAAAAATTTAAAAAATTATTTTAATTATTTACAAAAATAAACAAGTCGTTTGCACATTTTTATAACCCATATAGGTAAGCTTCAAAAATTTCGCGACCCATTCTCGGGGGGGGGGGGAGCCATCCCCCTCGGACCGCCACTGCTAGCTAGCTACTTTAGCGGTCACACATACATGTTGTTTATTTTCTACACACTTTGCATTGAAAATTTTGCCTATCGAGTCGGTGTTTTGGAGGGAGGTACAACATTCAGGGTCGCTTGTTTGGGAACAAGCCGAGGAAGACCTACTCTGTCCAGAACCAAATCGAAGTGAAAGCAGCTCAGGGAAGGTGAGTGTTTCGTGGTAAATGCTTACTGTACGGAGAGTGGGATCAACGTGTCCGCAATTCCAGTGCAGATGTTCTTCTCTTTCTCTCTTAATCCTGGCGTTTCTGAATTGATCGGCTTATTTCGATTGTTTCGCAAGGATGTGCTTGCAAAATTTTACCTGAGCTAAGGTATGCCTATCAGATAGAACCAGTCTGTTGTGTATATAGAATATTACTTTAGATGAAAAGGATTTCCAAGCGAGTCAAGCTGATAACAATTTCAGTGAGGTACCTATAACTTCTACATATTGCTTCTTGGTGGGTTTAGACTAGGCAATATCGTTTTCGTGAGACTTCTTTCGTATCTTTTTTGTGCCGTAAGGTATTTCTTCATGTCGACCTTGTTCTTGTAACAAACGTGCTCAAGGATCTGTTTCTATTGTATCTTAATTTTTGAGGAGTTATATCATGCAAGTGTTTACATGTCGTCTGCAGATTTGATAAACAAATTCATCATTTTCTTTTTGCTCATGATTTTTCAATGCAAACATGAGAAACGGACAGGAACTAGGGATTACCGGTCATAGTAATTAAGTACATAACAAGAGTGATTGAGCTGGCTTTTGAGACAAAGGTAAAGGTATTAAACGGAGGTTGACTGACTGAATGGAGTTAATGATAAGTCGAGCAGAAAAAACATTAAATTCTAGGGCTTTCGCCAAACTAATTGTTTCCTATCGAAAGTAAATGAGCTCTCCTATTTTCTACCGGTCACAATGACAACTTTCTCATGGAACGTGGCATGTTAGAGTAAAAATGCAATGAATTATATTGGGTTTTGAACGATGCATATGTAGATACAGCGAGGACTAAGCTGAGCAAGGCATATAGTGTCCGTTTTTACAGCATGTGCACAGCTTGTGCGGCACTGCTCGTCCACACGCTGTATGGACCCAGATTCTGCAGACGTCGCAACGCAGCCATTCTGTTACTGATCCGAGAGATCCTGCTGACGGCTGTTCTGGATCAGGCTGTAGTCCGCAGTTGATTTTGGACTTTTCTCATTACGAACTAATTTGGATCTGTTGGCAGTCGTGTTATCGCCTCCATCGCCTGCAGTTAAACTCTGGCTTTTGCCGGCTAAAAATCAGGTAATTTCTTCATCTAAAGAAGTGGGCAGAAATAAGCTCACACGTGCTCGCACGAGCATCGTGTAAAATCATTGGCAATACGCACATCTTTGGTTTTATCGTAAGCCCAACATACCACCTGCAAGAAAGGTTGTAATACCAAAGTAGACTGTAAGCAAAAATCTAATAATGTTAGGTAAAGGAATGTGACAAAGAAGTAATTGACATCAGGGCAATCTAACGAAAGAAGTAAAGAGCGTGATCATATTATCTAAGGTATGGTGATCTGACACTTTACATCAGAGTAAACCTATTCCGTTTACGTAAAACACTCACCTTCACCAGAAACAAGTTTTCTTCAACTTGAGTTTCGACCAAAAGAAGTCCTCCTAAACTCAAATTTCCGTACAGACGATCCGAATAAAACTCAGTTTGTCTCACGACAGCAGCCGCACCTGAAATGCTATATATCCGTTCAAAACGCTATTCCGATAAGCTAAATCTCCATTGCAATAGGTGAGAGCTAGTATAAAGCGGTGCCGAACAAATTCTCGGAAATGGCATGCAAGTTACAAGCAACTTACTCAGTTGTAACTTCATGATCAGTATTATAAAACAGTAGTTACAATAGTATGACAAAAAATCACGCTTGACGACAGACAGATCATTTACAAAATTAGTGCTGCAAGATTACGAAATCCATCAACCGTCATACAGCTTGCAACAAACCTGCAAAAAAGTTCACAAACACTTGCTGCAGAGATAGTTACGGACGCAGACAGAAGAGTAAAGCATTCTATCAAGTATTGAATAGTGAGCGTGATGAAAACACCGACGCAAATGAAAAAGTAAAGCATTCTATCAAGAATGGAGTAATGACCGTGATGAAAACGCCAAGTCCCGATACTATAGCGCACCCCAGCGCCAATTCCCTGCGCGCCTGCTAAATTTGTACTGGGTCATGGGGCGCGCTTTGCGCAGCCATGTGTAGATTTAAGTACGTGTGTCCGATTATTAACAACAAAATTTTTATTTTGAACATTCAAGACGCTTTTGGTAAAGATCCATAGTTAGACAAATGCAAAAGATAAATTTATCAGACATTCTTAGTTGTCTTTTCAGTAAATTGCGAAACAATTTTCCCAAGGAATTTTTTGTTTTGCGAAGCCGTGTAAACAAAGGCGTTAAGCACCAAAATTATTACCAGAAATTAATCATGCAAAATTCATTTTACTGACTGATTTTACGAAACCTAAATGGTGGTTAGAAAACAAAACAATTTGTGGCCTCAATAAGAAATTTCATTTATTTTGCTACCGAAGCATCACAAGCTGATTCAATATAAGAGCGTCTGGGTGTCCCTCCGCAGATCTATCGCTATAAGCCTTGGTCCAAAGAAAAAGGGGGAACCCGCTCACTCCGCGTCATTGAACATCTACTATCACAGAAACCCTTTCTGCGCCCCTGGGCCCAGTAAAAACATCTCACAGTTTAACCGCTCAACATTGAAATCTGACACGTAGGAACTGCCAAAACGGAGTCATGATGAAAAAGCAATGAATAACGAAAAAGAAATTCAAAGAGAGAAAGACTGCTCCGCGCATACCTCGCCACTTGACCGCGTTCCCAGTTGGAATGGTTCGGCGGCGACTACAAAAACGGCGACAAGTAAAGGCGGCTTACAGCGCTCTCGCCAATTGTCCGAAGAGCTGCTCTGCATAGCGAAGCCGCGACAAGAGACTTACTTGTGTCAGTGGGCTTTACACTATATAAGATAGTAGCCGACGCTAGTCTCTGTTCCCTGGTTTATCTGTTTGCAGCAGCGACACAGACTTAAACATTCAGTGATTGGGGCATCTTTCGCTAATGACAAGTGCTTCTGTTGCTGCGATGATAAACCTAATTAAGAAAACTATTTGAATTTGCTTTGTAGCTTTTTCAATACATGGCTTGAAGGCAGTGCCCTGCCACGTGTGATGTGGGCGCCATCTAATCCTACCGGGCTGGCTGCGCGTGCGATTTGCGCGCGGCAGCCGTGAGTAGCGTAGGGGCGCGTATACCCTCTTATATTAGGTTGGTCCGAAAGTTCTGTCCCACCATTTTCAAAAAATCGTAACTTCTTCCTAACACAATGTTTTTGCAAGCGTAAAACCACATTGAAAACAGCAATTCGTGCACTCTCTAAAACTGCCTTGGCTGCTATTCACCAAGCTCTGAATGCAGAGAAAAAAATGGAAAAAGGAAATTACTTTAATTTCGGAATTTTTAAGCAAGCCTGTTGAAAAATCCAAAACTGTGCCATAAAATCCAAAACAGGCACTATCCTAAGTTTTTTAATCCCCTCTTTCCAGCTGAGCAAGATTCGCGCCGATCGAGACTTTTTGAAAGAAGTTATGATTTTCAAGAAAAAATGCCAAAAAATCAGTTTCTTAAGAAAATTGATTTTTTGACATTTTTTTCAAAAAATCATAACTTTTCGGAAACCAGCTAGATCAGCGCGAACTTTGCTCAGCCAAAAAGAGGGGGTAAAATAGTCTAGGATACTGGCTGTTTTGGATTTTATGGCACAGTTCTAGATTTTTTAACGGGCTTGCTTAAAAATTCCAAACTCGAAGTGATTTCGTTTCCCCAATTTTATCTCTGCTTTCAGAGCTTAGTAGAGAGCAGCCAAGGCAGTTTTAGAAAGTGCATGAGTTGCTGTTTTCAATGTGGTTTTACTCTTGCAAAAACATTGTGTTAGGAAGAAGTTACGATTTTTTGAAAATGGTGGGACAGAACTTTCGGACCAACCTAATACATGCGAATTTGTTTTTAATCGCTTTCTATCGTGTCAAAGTTGCTGGTAAGGGTTTTTGCTCACACTAGCCGTTACAGAGGAAGCAGAAGAAACATTAATGAGGGCCATTGGTCTGTTGCGCTAGTGTATCTGACTTAGCACTATAAGCTGTTAGTAGATGAAAGTCCTACGAGTTCTAAGCAAGCTTATTCTTCTCAAAAAGCGCTTTTTTGTAGAAAAGATTCGAAGAGAGTTCGCAAACGTCTTGTGATCTGACCTCCTTTCTCTAATGTAGTGCAGCCACAAACCGTGAGGAGGGTTCGAAATCCAAATACAATTTCATCAGGGTGAGATGATTGGAGAAGTAATGAAAAGGTAAGACACTATAAAAAACCTAAGTAAAAGCTTCGTTAATATCTCGGTCATTCTAATAATTCTCTGAGCTCATGAGCGGGTTGAGAGCCGAGAATGTATTTTAGGTAAAATTGCTGCGGAAGATAAGCACCAAATCATACAGCTCATGGTGAATGGATCTCCTGAAAGTTTTTTCTCTGAAAAGATGTCATATTTCCTTTTGACCAAAACATTATTGTATCATCGGCTCCACGATTCGTGTAGAGGCGGGGTTTTGCCAACTCAAAGCGTGGCGGTTTTTGATAGCGAGAGAGTACAAAATCAATGGTATGACATGGAGGTTTAAAAAGTTTACCTGTGTTATCAGGCAAAGTCTGCAATACACCTCTACACGAATCGTGGAGACAATCATACTTACGAGGGAAGTACTTTCAATGGCCGTGGCTGTTTGATATGAGATGCATACCATCTGAAGCAGCTTCGAACGCTTTCAAATCTGCTTTCCGCTTCAGCGGAACGCTCTTCTAAAGAGAGTTATGGAAGCCTGGACATCCTATTTTGAGGGCGCTCCTTGAGTTTGAGGGCGCTGCTATTTGCTTGGTGGCGCAGTAGTGTAATGGTTAATTGCTGACATTGAAGGCGAAAGGTCGGTGGTTCGAATCCAGTGCAGAGCAAACCGTTTTGCACTTTGAATGTGAGTTTGAAAACCATTCTAATTCGTCTGCAGTCACCTGTCAATACCCTTAGCACAAACAGGAGAGAACATCTTTTCGACCAATAACAAGTGTGCATTTTTTGAGCTTTATATGGTGACAAACGTGCTAGGCCATGTTTGGTCCTGTTTTACTAGTAAGGAAGTCAAATAAAATTTCAGGCTCTCATTACAAGCAGATTTGCCAGAAAATTCTTTTTCTAGGTCACTTATGCCAAAGGCATTACAGTAAGTGTCTGCAGGCGATTTAGAGTGCTTTTGACCCACATTCAATAAGCAAAATAGTTCGCTCTCCACCGGATTCGAACCAGATCGATAAAAGTAATCGATAATCCCGAAAATCAATATTGTATTCGGAATCCCCATGCTCGATTACCCCCCTGCGCGAACTCCCAGCCCCGTAGGTGAACTCAGCAAAAAATCGATAAAAATCGATAAAATCGATATCGATCGATACGAAAAGTAGCCTATGACACCCGCTGGGGC